GGGAGATACGTAATTAATAGGTACAACTGACTTTTTCTATCTGATAGTTATGCTAAAAATTCGTTATATAAACTATATTTTTATAGATCCCGCTCTGCTTAAGTTCGTCATATCTTATAAAAAAGGCAAGCACGCATAATTTATGGAAATTGCATAAGATAGCATGGAATATCCGTCATGGTACGTATACATAGACACGTTTCAGGTGCGGTTTTTTTATGGAAACGATACAGAATCACACGGAATGGGCCATTTTTCGCATGATTCCGTGTCAATTTTTCACGTTTCCCGTGCTTACACCATTTCATGGATTATACATCGGTAATCAGGCTTGTGATCGCGAATATTGAATCTGTGCCTGGTTCGTGATCACATATTCACAATACAATAAAGAATGCGCAATTTTCAATCAGCCCGGCAAAAAAACAAATTCGACAAAAAAAATGAAAAAGCGAAAAAATTACAGAAAACTTAAGTCGACATCTGACTTTGAAGTTCTACTCAAAAAAATCTCACTTATTTCTTAACCCTAACTCTTTTAATAAATGTCTTACGCATTCTTATTGATTTGTTATCATGTGATCATGAACCAGGCACAGATTCAATATTCGCGTTGTGATCATGGCACAAAAAATGTTAAACTCCGTGTGTAATATTCTTAAATCTGAGCTTATCTTGCAATTTGATTGGTTTATCCATTAAAAATCACATATTACTTGGTTTTTACTTTGTTACTATAATTATAGTATCACCAACAAAAAAAATTAGCGTTAGAATGTATTAACTCATACAATATGTGCCTCAAAAAACTTGTATTTATGAATACACTAATTCATTTGAAATCGTACACAGAAGAAAATGGCAAGATTCAAATATCTCATCATTGAAGAATTGTCCGCGATCAGAAATAATTAAACTACATTCATTAAGATAACAAATATTATTAGTAATAATATTGTCGTCGCAATGAAAAATTCCGCGATTACAAAATTCATGCCAAAATTCATATTTTGTATTGTACATAATAATTATACTTTATTTTTCTTATCATTACAAATGTTATTATATTCTTTGTCACGAAGTATAACCATGCCCCCTTTTGTACTTTGTACGCTAGAACTCGCGGATTATGTATTGATCTGTAATTTAGTGTATGTAAAGGATAGCTCTTGAAGATTAGAGAGATAAATCAATGTGTTTTTTAAGAAAAATAAATAAAAATTATTCTTAACTTTTATCTGACAGCACTTCAACTTTTATTTCTTTTGTATCTTAACAAAATCAATAGCTTTATTTCTCTAAAATTGAAGACTTTAATGCCTTGGTTATACAAAGTTGATGAATTGTGTTTGATTCTTTGATTATTGAATTATTCAGTTACTTGATTTGATACTATTACTCAATTTTTTATTGTTTTGAAATAAATCTATTTTTGTGATTTGAAATAAAAATTATTTGAGTTTGATTAATAAATTTCTATAATTATTTTGTTGTTTTAATTAAAATTATATTTTATTAATAATTAGTTATTACTTTTGTTCTATGAGATTATTATAATTTATGTTTGCTTTTTTAAATTCTTCAATTTCTAACTGTATAATTTTCATCTAAGATCAATATAAAAGATCTTTAAAATCATAATAAATCTTCTTTATATAAATTATTTAGTTTAGTTTTTAGTTTTTATTATTATTATAATTTGTTAATCAATTTAACTTTCAATTATACTATATATAGCAATAGTTTTAGAATTTAATATGATTAAAATAAAAAATATTTATATTTACAGTAATATAATATACCATATTTGTCATAATAAGCACAAGTTTTTGAGATATATTTTGAGTTCTAAATTGATATTGTACTTATTTTTGGAATTATTTTTTTTTGAATGACAAATATACTATCACCAATTTTTTTTAGTATAGATTAGTGTAGATTTGCATTAATTCACATTAATTTCTCTTCTAAAATGATCAATTCTAATAAAAAATCTTGCAATTCATATACTATCTCAGAAAAACTTACTATTATCAATTTTGCCATGGAAAAAGACATAATGAATGCTGCCAGAAAATTTGGTATTAATCATTTAATGATATTACATTAGATTAAATACAAAGATAAGCTTGCTTTAATAAGTTATAATAATCATAATATAGAATTAGATTGAAAAACTATCTATTCCGCTACTAAAGAAAGACTTAAAGAATGGATTTTTGAGTTTAGACAAAATAGTATCATATTAAATACTATCATAATTAAGTATCAAATGAAATAACTGTTGGAAAATAACTTTAAAGATATCTATCCTGATGCATCTAATACTTTTATCATATCTGATCACTGGTTTTATTGATTTCTCAAATATCATGAGCTTTTATTACGCTAATGAACAAAAATCTTCCAGAAGCTTTCTAATAATCTTAATGAAAAGCTTGTTTTTTTTTAATAATTTATTATTCATCATCATCAAGCACAAAATTATGATATTAGACAAATTAATAATATAGATGAGACATCTATTTTTTTTGATATAATGGAAAATGTTATTATTAAAAAAAAAGATAACAAAACTATAAATATACAAATCACTGATAATGAAAAAAATTGATTTACTTGTATTCTGACTATTTTAACTGATGGTACCAAACTTATATTAATAGTTATATTTAAAGAAAAATACCTTCCTAATAATCTTTTCTCAAGAATTATTATTCAAATGCAAGAAAAGAGATGGATGAATGAATGAATTATACAATCATGGATGGAAAAAGTTTGGAAAAAAAGACTGGGTGGACTTATGAAAAAAAAATCTTTATTAGTGATAAATTTATTTGAGATCCATAAGACAGATCCTATAAAAAAATGATACAAAGAGCAAAATATTAACTTGACAATTATTTCTAAAGATCTTACATCAGTTATACAATCTTTAGATATTTATTTAAATAAACTATTTAAAGATTGACTAAGAGAAAAATAGGGAGAATAGATAGTTAGAGGTGAATATAATTTAACAAAAGGAGGAAATTTAAAAAAACCAGATCATAATATTATTTGTAAATAGATTATTAAGGTATGGAATAATATATCAATTGATATAATTATTAAATCTTTTAAAAAATATGGAATTTCTAATAATTTAGATGGAACAGAGAATGATGATATTATTGATGATTATAATTTATATATTGAATATATACCTGAAGTTGTATTACAGAATGATAATTCAGCTACTGATTCTAATACTAATTAATAAAATATAATATGTGCTTATTTTTGGATGTACTTATTTTTGGATGTGCTTATTCTTAAAAATTCTATATTTGAAAACTAAAAACTATTTGTACTTATTTTCAGGAGTACTTATTTTGAGATAAATATGGTAATCAAATTTATTAATAAATAGAAGATTTTAAAAGCTAAATATAAATAACTTATATTTTTAATTTTATAATATATTTTTTTATTTTATTAAGAATTTATTTTATTTAGTTTTATATTTTTATAAAAAAAATAAAGCTTTAAAAATAAATAATTTATATATATTTTTAAAATAATATAAATAAAATATAGTGACTATCAAATAACTTAGAGGCTAAATTTATTAATAAAATATAATGAAAATTAAAATTTTTTCTTTATATTAAAATTTATAATTTTATTAAGAAATAATTTTATTTTTATATCAAAATAAAGTTTATTAATTATAGTTTAATATATATTTTTTTTAGATTTTTAGATTTTTTTTAAAAGAATTATTTTAATTGTAAAGTTAATATATTAATTAAATTTTATTTTTAATCAATAAAAATTTTTGCATTAATTTTATAATTAGAATAACTCTTTTAGAAAAAATCTGAAAAAATATATATTAAATTACAACTGATAAATATTATTTTAATATAAAAATTAAAATTATTTCTTGCTAAAATTATAAATTTTAATATAAAGAGAAAATTTCAATCTTCATTATATTTTATTAATAAATTTAATTTCTAATATATTACTTTTAATTACTATTATAATTTATTATAAAGTTTTAAAAATAAATAATTTTATAATATTATTCTTTTTAGTAATTTTTCTTATTTCTTATTTATATTTTATTATATTAATTATTATATTTTTATAATAAAAATATTATTTATTATGAATTATTTTAGTTTAAAAATTTTATAATATTCAAATTTAAATTAAATATATAAAAAATAAACAAATTTAAAGTAATATTTTAAAAATTTAACTAATAATCTTATAAATTTTATCATAAAGAATAATATTATTAATTTTAAAAAATATTATCTTTTTAAAAAAATAAAAAATTTCAAAATTATATTATTTTATTATTTTATTATAAGTATTTGTATTTATATGTTAATATTAATTAAATAAAAATTATTTTTGAATTATAAAAGTTAAAAAAATTATAAAAATTTAGTTAAAAATTAATAGATTAATAATTAATTTAATAAAATTATATTTATTAATTATTACTATTAAGTAATATTTCTAATTAAACTCAAATTGTTTTATTTGAATTCACTTAAAAGCTTTATTATCAAGTAATAATTTTTAGCGAAAATATTAATTTATTTATACTTTTTCATATTTTTTAAATAATTTGAATATCTACTTATTAAAGATAGCTTGCAAATATTTATAAATATAAACAATTGAAAAGAAAGAAAAATTTTTCATGCTGACAGGATCATGATGCCAGAGTTAATTTTTATTATAATCCAAATAATTGTTAATTTTTAGAAAAAAGCCAAATTATTAATTCGAAGACATTTGAGTTTAAATGATTTGATACATTTCTTTCTCCAAAAAATCCAATTTTGAGCCAATTAGAAAGCTGTCCAAGGTTCATACAAATGATGAAAATATTTATATCAATGATTATTTGAGCTTTTAATAAATCTTTCTTTCTGGATTTATAAATAAATAAAAATTTGATCGAAAGTTTTAAAAATATCCAAAAGAGAGATAATTGTTCATAACGCTGCTCGTAAATCATCTAATGCATTCTTTAACGTTTTCCTAAAAGCGGTGCTATCGGTCTCTGAAGCATTTTTAAAACTGGATATGCTGAATTTTATATTTCCCTTTCCAATAGCATAATTGATCCCGTAACCCTCAGGAACGACTGCACCAAATCCGCCATAGAAGTTATCGCCTGGGCTCATATTCGACGAGGATAATTTAAAGTACATGGATTTTATATAGGATGGGTCAGTGAAAATGTGTGCTTGTGCACGTTCTTCGTCTGATTGTATTTGTGTTCGTAAGCCAAGAAGATGACGATCTACTCCTTTACCTATTGCAATTATATATTCGTTATTATTGGAAATAATGGATTACACGTGTATCTAAGCTGTTTGCAATTTACCGGTACTAGCAGAAATCATATATTCTAAATGAGTTTTGATAGCTTTTTGAAATAATTCGAGTTTCCGTGATTTCTATAAATAAATAGTTATTTGTATGTCATATATAATACATATGATAATATCATTATGACACATACTGGAATGTCATTGTCGTCAAAAGCTTTGACAAATGCCACACTTTCGAGAGAACATGACCGAACGGTTTCAGTACGACCATGCAAAAATGCTCTTGTAGATGCAGATTCATAAGTCGCTGTCGGCTGACCATAATGTCGTTGATATGCTAGTTGTAATGCCATCTGTACGAACGCATCGGGACTAAGCTTGACTATGATAAATATTTTAAATTACATATCACAGAAAGGCCGACAAATAACTTATGCTCAATTCTGATAATTGAAATAATCAATTACAATACCACTTTTCAACCAATCAGCTCCATATTCATAGTAATGTAATAAAACGCTGTCTACATTATCGATTGCTGCTTGTATTTTAGGTTTTGCAAGTTCAATCGTTTCATCTATGGAAGAATCTGTTACCCATTTAAGAAGTTGCGGCGGCGATAGACTCACAGAACTTGATGCATTGACCGGATCTTGAGCAGGCTCTTTTGAGACAACATCGTCAAAAATACGGCCCGGTATTACAGCATCAGCTGGAGAATGCTAAATAAAATACGCGTTAATCAGAAAATTATAACAGAATTATTAAGATGAAAAAATGTAAAAAAGACACAACATACCTCACCATTTACACCTGCTCGTCCATTACTTTGCACAATCAACTGGAGTGATTTATCAAACCATCGGTTTCTTCCATTGAACGCATGAAATATATTATGATGCGATACATCAATATTGGTGTCGGTTGAATAATCGTCTAGTGCAACAGCAAATAGCGATGAATCAATTGCTTCAAAAGTTGATTTATTTTCTGGTGAAAGCGATTCAAGTTTTTTACGCGCCTAAATTATTGTTTTTAATTTTAAAATTTGCACTATAAATCAAAACAGAGAAATTTAAAAAAAAACCAATAATATATACTGATGCCCAAATATCTCGATGTTCGCCAGTCAATAATCCAACCGATTTTTGGAAATCGGTCGAGCTGGTATTATTAACTTGTTCAACTACCGCTTTCAATTGTCTATGAAATATTCGGAAGTCCTTCAACAATTAACACATATTCGCATGGAAATTATAAATCAAATTTACAAATCAAAGACAAAAGATTATCAATCTTTTTTATTCTTACTTTTCAATCTCTTTTATTGGAATTCGAGCATTTCCCTCCCCTAAAACTTGCACTTTGAATATTTGATCTCTAAATAGGACAATGATGTGCTTAGCAGTTGTAGGCCAACTTGTAATAATTCTATCCGCCGGGGAATCGGCAATACGCGTAGTCCCAAATTGATTTTTATATTGGTTCATACAAAGTGGACCTTGTCGAGTTGATTCCGGGGGAAATGTCTCACTTTTTATGTTATATTGTATTCAAGCATATAAGTTAATGCATAAAGCAAATTCCAGCGCATCATTTCAAAAATGTGCTATTATGACATTCACGCATGCATACATACTTATTAATAGATTCATTGAAGTTTAATAAATTCGAAATAATGCCAGCAGCCCTATTAATCTGAAAATCCGTAATTTGTCCTTTTAACGGATTTTCCTTTAGAATACCAGAAACAGGATCACGGAACTCACACCACCAATTGACGTTTATAAGCGACGGTTCACGCCATTCCAAGTAAGCTTTGTTTAGCCAAATTTTTTCAAGCCAATTGTACTATTATTTTTGATAAAGCATTAATTAAGAAGAAATATTCGAATTTTATTCAGATTAATCAATTACCTTTTCACTTTTATCAAGCTCATGAAGTCTTTCTTGTAACACGTTCCCCAGACCGGCTGGCTTTATGAATTCATCAATGGCGTCCGAGGCACGGTCATACTCCTCAGAAGTAAGGATAGGTAATAGACTCTTCCTGTAACGAGTTGTAGTCTCTTGAAGTGTAGGAATTGGTAAACGTGGAATAATATTTTGGTTCGAAAAGGTTTTCGATTTGTTTAGTATGGAAGCGTCAAAGGCATAAGTACGGACGAGAGAAGAGGCTGTTATACTGGAAAAAATCAAAAACTTAAGTAGACTGATAAAACATTAATTTAGTTCCATTCCCTTAACAAATATACTAACCGAGTTCTTAAAGATTCTTTAAATACTCTTCGCGAAAAAGGCAAAGAAACTAAAAAACGAGAACTTTGGACTGCCATTATCCTAAGTTGTTGTCATGTTAACCAGATACGGTAAAGATCCATTTCTAACACAATTAGCGTTAGAAGCCGGCTAGCTAATTCAATCGAGCTAATTTCTTCAATGCGGCGCAAGTCGATTTCGAAAAATTTTCAAATTAAGAAAAACTTTTATTATGGTTTAAAAATTAACTAAATAAGGAAAGTCACATGATTATTACTAGAGCCGGTTAGCCGAAACAAAAAATACCAACTCAATCGCGCTGGTATCTTTATTTCCGGCTTGAAACACTAATCAACAGTCTTCAATTTTGACTAGACAAAAGAGAAAATGCTTGGTAGAGTCACTGACAAAATTTTAACTCCTTGGTTCGGTCGTAATTGGCACACTCCCATCGCAAAACACATGTGGCCCTTCATGATTAGTGCGTCTATAGTTTATGCTACTATATGGAAGATAGAAAGTTCCGCACAAAACAGTTAAGCTCATTCACAAAAAAGACTTGAGGAAAATTGATGAGAGATTAATGATTTTTGTATTTCTAGAGCCTCCATACGATACTGATCCAAGGAACCCAAGAGGTAATTATTTGTTCGTCATAAGACTTTCAGTAGATATTGCATACAGACCCAAAAACCTAATTGTTTTTAATCCCTAGCCATCGCCAATATGAAGCATAAAGAAGGACACCATTAGATTTTTTTGATGTCTTTATGAAAAGCAACAACAATAATATTAATATGGTGCAAGCAGTCTAAAGACAGCCAATATTTTAAATATATAAATACATTATTAAAATAGTCTTTGATGTCAATTTGGAATCGGTTTTATAATTCAAATTCAGTTGGATTCGAATTCGAATTAAATCCCGGTTATGATTTGTAACTAAATCAATTCGATTTTATTTGAATTTATTTAAATTCAGATGATCCATATGATAAATATCCTTTTTAGCAAGTTTTCATACATTTATTGTACGGGTTGTTACTAGGCATTCATATCCAAAAAAGAAAATTTTTTCATTCCATATCCTATTCTAATAAAATATTTACAAAATTTTAATCTCTTTTTTAAATTAATTATTTATAAAAAACAAAAAGAATTTTTTTGTTTCATATTTCATTTGCGAATGGATTGATATGGATATTACTTGATCTGATAATTCAATTATTAATATAATAAATTATCTTTATATTAAATATAGTTAAATCTCTCTATAGTCATTACACTTGGAAAAGCAAAATTGAATAACTAAAGAGAGATGCGATTATAGAGAGATTTTTTAATTATAGTTAATTAATAACTGGAAAACTCAAAAAGAATAACTATAAAAAATAAGATAAATAAATTATACAGTGATAATCAAAAGTAATAACTCAGGTTAAATTTATTAATAAAATATAATGAAAATTAAAGTTTTCTTTTTATATTAAAATTTATAATTTTATTAATAATTTTTATTTTTATATCAAAATAAAGTTTATTAATTTTAGTTTAATATATATTTTTTTTGAAAGAATTACTCTAATTATAAAATTAGTACAAAAATTTTTATTAATTAAATTTTATTTTTAATTAGTAAAAATTTTTGCATTAACTTTATAATTAAAATAACTCTTTTAGAGAAAATTTAAAAATCTAAAACAAAATATATTTTAATATAAAAATAAAAAATTATTTCTTAATAAATTATAAATTTTAATATAAAGAGAAAATTTTAATTTTTACTATATTTTGTTAATAAATTTAGCTTCTGAGTTATTATTTTTGATCATTATTGTATTAATATTAAAATATTATTTTAATATTATTATAATATTAAAATAAATTAACAAAATTAATAATTAATTATTATATCTAATATGTAATTTTACTAATTTTATAATTATTTATTATATATTAATTTGAGTATAAATTTAATTATCAAGTTTTTTATATTAATACTAAAAAATTAAATATTATGTAAAATATATTCTAATTGAAACTCTTTTAAAAAATATATTAATATAATATTTTTTAATTATAAACTTATAAATTATTGAATCTTATTATAATTTTTTAAATATTATTATAATTTAAATTTCTTTAGATTTTGAATTTTATAAATTTTATAAAATATTATAATATTTTTAATATATATTAATAAATTAAATTTTATAATTATAAAATAATAAATTAATTAATAATAAAAATTATTTATTTATATAATAATAAGTATATATAATTCATATTTTTTAATTATTTATTTATTAAAACTTGAAATAATATAAATTTATTTATTATTATATCAAAAGCTTATAATTATTTTTTAAATATTAAAAATTAAATAAATATAAAAAATTTTATTAATTAAAATATATAATAAGTTTTTATAAATATTTTTAATAAGAATAATAAATTAAATATTATTAAAATTATTTTTTTAATTATAAGAATTTGAATATTATTATTTAATAAATATTTTATTAAAAAAGATAGTAAAAAGTATATATAATATTAAATTTATTAATAATAATTAATAATTAAATATAAGCAAAAATATTATTAAAAATATAATTAAAAAAATTATATTATTATTTTCAGAATATAAAAATAATTATAAATATTTGTATTTTAAAATTTTCAGAAATTAAATAATAATATTTCTCAAAAATTTTCAAAATTCAAGAGTGATATTAACTTTAATAATTTATATAATTATAAATTAATATAATATATAAATAAAAATTTAGATAATTAATTAACTTTTATATTCAAAAAAATATTATTTTCTCTATATAAATAATATAAAATTATTTTTCTTTATGAATATCTACAAGAATTATAATAAAAATAGCAATTTATATTAATTATATTAAGAATATTAAAAAAATTAGATTTAAAGATAAAGAATTTAAATAAT